ACCGCCTCTATATGAAGAAAAGGCTGTATAATTTCAGAATGAGTGAAGGTACGCCCATTAAACAATACCTTGATGAGTTTAATTTTTTAATTATGGACCTGAATAACATAGATATTAAGATTAAAAATGAAGATTAGGCATTGATTGTTTTGTGTTCATTACCATTTTCTTATGAGACTTTTGTTGATACTCTACTGTATGAAAAAACTAGTATTTTACTAGATGATGTTAGTAATGCACTAAAATCCAAAGAGTTATAAATTTTTTTTACTGAGTATAGAATAGAAGGGGAAGGTTTGGTAAGTAGGGGAAGGACACAGAGAAAGGGCAAATCAAAATATGGAGGTAAAAAGGAAAACTGTTTTGAGTGGGGGGAGAAAGGTCACTTTATGAGAAATTATCTTATGTTGAAAAGAAAAAAGGAGTAGGAGAGTTCAACTAATATAGTCGACAGAGATAATTATGATGATAGTAATAACAACAGTGTTGGGGTAGTTCTATTGAATTCGGATCATAGAAAGAACTCCTAGATTCTTGATTCTAGTGCTATATTGCACATGGTCCACATAGGTATTGGTTTACTACTTACAAGCAAATGAGTGGTACCGTGTATATGGGAGATGACAGTTCGTTATCTGTAGCTGAGATTAGTAATATCATATTAAAAATGTTTGATGGTATCATTAGAACTATTGCATGTTGGCATGTTCCTCAGACAAAGAGAAATGTGATTTCTCTTTCTACATTGGTGACTCAGGGTTACAAATATCATACAGAAAATGATACTCTTTAAGTGTGTAAAAGCTTTGAAGTACTTATGAGAAGCAATTTAAAATCTAGATTGTATATTCTTCAGGGAAATATAGTTTCAGGGGAAGCTATTGTAGTATTAGGGAGAAGTAATCAAAATCAATTGTGGAATTTACGTTTGGATCATATGAGTGACAAAGGGTTATGTGTTTTGAGCAGATAAAGTTTGTTGAATGGGTATAAAGAAGGAGCTTTGGGTTTTTGTGAATATTATGTGTTTTGCAGGTAGACTAGAGTGAAGTTCAACAAAAAGACAGTGCACAAGACAAGAAATAAGTTAAATTATGTTCATTCTGACTTATGGGGTCCACATAGAGTTTCCTCTAAGGGTGGTGCCAGGAACTTTATAACATCGATTGATGATTACTCTAGAAATGTATTAGTGTATTTTTCTGAAATCCAAGGAAGAGGTATTTTTAACATTTGTCAAATGGAAGACCATGATTGAGAAGCAGACAGAGAGGATGATCAAGTACCTTAGGACTGACAATGAGTTAGAATTTTACAATCATGAGTTTGATGACTTCTGCAGTACTGAAGGTATAGTGAGACACCACACTTGTGTTGGAACACTACAACAGAATGGTATTGTAGAACACATGAATAAGACGCTTTGTAATAAGGCACGAAGCATGTCTCATTTAGGTGTGAGACAGGAATTTTGGGCTGAAGCTATGAATATTATTAGTTTATTAGTTAGTAGATCTCCATCCACAACTATTGAGAGT